AGGAGGAAAAAAACAAGAACAGAGAATGATCGGTGTGGAAATGAAAGAACAGTGAAGTCTGAGACAATTGATTGACATTTTGCAAATGAAGTGTTTACTGTATGATTATCAGATTATACTAAGAGATTCTGTAATTTTGTGTCCAAGTATATTCGTTTGTCTTCACATATATTCTCGTTCACTACACCACTGTTGTATGATTAACGATTAAAATCCACTTACAATACTTTCCAAATACGACAAACACTTTCGAAAAGATTTTGTTGTTATTATTATTATCATAAACAAAAAATTGGTGTTTCGCATTGCATGAAAAGTTTACTACAACTACAAAGTTTCATCAACCAGATAAAACGACTATGTTTACGAGATTATATCAGACATTGGTATGTAAGATCCACGTAAGAGAGTTGGAAAACCCTGATTCTAAATCAATGGTGCACATGGGCTCCAGGATCCTGAACGAACAAATGGCGTATGAATCAATATTGGTCACCAGCTAACATGGGACTGTATCTCCACTACCTTGTAGATTAGACCTTTAGGTCGAATGCTCCGGGTGTGACCCCTATGAAAACCACTGGCTTCGGTTTGGGCACCCAGGCAGTATCATAGCTCACACACACAAATCAAGTGACTTATGTGGTTCATATGTATTTAGTGCCCCTCTGTACGAACATCCATGTGTTCAAATAAATAAATACGCTTCACAAGGTTTTAAATGAATTATAATGGAAATGTTTACGATCAAATCTTTCTTCTAAAATCATTTATACCCTTACCTTAATTTTACAATGTTCAGTTATTACTTTGTCATCCAATTGCAATGTGACTCAAGTTTAAGGTGACCATTAGATGTTAACAACTCCCTATTAAACAGTATACTTCTATAATAAGAACATACAATTTATAATATTTCACGCTTTGTCCATGATATACATGAAACAAAAACTATAGAAATTACTTTAATCTTTCAATACATACATTTACAATTGCCAAATTACATTTAAGATTTAATGAAGTATCTAGGATTTAATTGAATTACTTAACGACAAGATACCAATCTTACTTACTTACTTACTTACGCCTGTTACTCCTCGTGAAGGAGCATGGGCCGTTCACCAGCATTCTCCATCCAACCCTGTCCTGGGCAATCCTTTCTAGCTCCGTCCAGTTGTAATTCATCGTTTTCATATCTGCTTCTATTATCCGACGCAATGTGTTCTTTCGCCTTCCTCTTTTTCGCTTCCCTTCAGGGTTCCAAGTTAGGGCTTGCCTCGTGATGCAGTTTGACGATTTGCGTAATGTATGTCCTATTCATTTCCATCGTTTTTTCCTAATTTCTTCTTCAGCTAGAAGTTGGTTTGTCCTCTCCCACAGAAGGCTATTGCTGATAAGATACCAATCTAGTATGTTTTATTTATTTATTCATTTAAACACAAACATTAGTACAAGGAGGCACAAAATACATATGCGTCACATAAATCATCCGGTATATATGAGGGCTGTGATACTGCCTGGGTGCCCAAACCGAAGCAGGTGGTTTTCACAAGGAGTCACACCCGGAGCCTTCGACCTAAAGATCTGACTCACAAGGCAGTGGAGCAACGTCAACAGACCCGGTCTCATGGTAACCAGTCACCAATAATTGGTTCGTACGCCATTAGTTCCTTCAGGATACTGGAGCCTATGTGCGCCATTGGTTTAAAGTCAGGGTTTTCCAACTTCCATAGATGGACTTTCCGTGTCCAGCAACTCGGTTAAAGCTCCGGACATTCACTTTTCGTCCTCTAAATTTCGTAAAAAAAACAGTAATGCCTTGAAAAGGCAGTGAGTAGGACTTCCCTGGTAGTGGTTGAATACGCGTGGCCATGGGAGAACATTTCGAGAGGGAGAGCTGACTCTCCCTACTCTCGGTCGTACCAGGATATGAAACGAATATCGCAAAAGTATGAGGTCTCCTCATTCTAAAAAAATATTAAATCTAAAATCATTCAACTATTCACATTTATAAATCACTGTCAAAGATTTAATATGTTCATTTTCAATCCATGAATCATCTTTTCCAATTCAAAGGATTACTTTATTAAATTTGAGCATTATTGGAATACAGTTTAGATATGAGAAATAAACTTATCTCACTAGATAATAATGTTTTTGAGTGCTTGAAACAAAATGATAACAATATATGCGAATGAGGACTAAAGGAATAGTAACTTCATGGACTAATCTATGGACTATTATTATACCAATAATTTCTCATTGCATGGTTATGAGGTAACTAGATTATATATATATATATATATATATATATATATATATATATATATATATATATATATATATATATATATATATATATATATAGTCCTTTTATTATAAGCTTTTGATCAACCCATTAATTGTTGTTGTGTGATTTACCACTCTTCATTTGTTGCCAGCGTTACTATTCGAATTCTCACCTACTTATAAACACTTTTTGACCTGATCATATATAATTATTTCTTATTTTATGGTGTGATATCGTCTGGTCTGCTTGTATATAAACCACAACTGTCTAAAATGCAGATTCGTTGGGAGCTGGTGTCGAACTTTTGAACTCAAGGGCAGGGCAGAGAGGCGCTAAAAGATTGTGAACCAATAAGAATCCAGCCATCGACCAAAGGTTGTTGGTGATAAGACGGATTGAGACTGGCATTTTGGTCGCATTAACTGAATCGGGAGTCATAAGTCGTACAATTAGGTTGATATGTGTTTCAAGATTGTGTCTAGTATTAGTATTGAAGTTTAGAATCGATTTGTCTGTCATATACAATCTACAGAGACAGAAGTGAAAATTTGGTACGTTTACCACAACTATTCTTACTCTAAGGTGATGAAAAATAAATTTTCCTTAGCGCTTGGAACTTTCTGAGCGGTACAGATATTTCTACTGCTCATCATACGTAATACGTTAACTTTGAGCAAGAGCCTAAATGTCGTATCCCCTACTCTGATTGGTATGTGCTATAGTATAGTACCGAAATAGTTTAGAGTTAAATAGATTTTCCTGGCAAATAAGAACTGTACACCTTGATAACATTTAAACTGACTAATAGTTTTTTTCATACTCATGACCATTTTCCTAAAAGATATCAGTATGTATAAAAAAACCCACTGTGTTTTGGCTATTAGGTTGTAATTGCACTTAATTTTGATCTATATGATCTTCCCCACAGTTATGATTCACTAAAATTAACTGCGAAATGTCATTTCCATTAGTATCCAATCTCCCAAGTTTTGGGGAAATATTGGGGAATTTCCGCAGAGCTGTAGGAATTTCGGGGTTTTGGTGCTATTCCCCCAAATTTTTCTATAGCGGCATCCCCGAAATTGGGAGATTGGGTATATATATGATTATATTGTATCTATTTGAACATATCAGTTTATGATTGTTTTCACAACTCGTTGATTAGTCAATCTTTTAACATTCTGTTTGTCCAGTATCTAAAAGAACACAACACCTAAACTTTCTCTGAGCAATGAATATTAACACTGACTGCCCCGACGTGCGATGTTTTATGGTGTAGGTTGAGAGGAAGCTAGGAGTGGCCAGACAAAAACATGGCATAAATCCATGAAGTCACTGAAAAGTGGACTGAGCCATGTTGGTAGGTGTAGACTACCTGATTGGGATCCGCGAGACGATACAAACCGATAGTTATAGGCCTTGAATGAAATGGCTCAAAATCGTTTGCAATTGCGCAGAAGCATCCACTCTTTGTGTTCTCCAAAATTCTAATATTCTAAATTCTTCATGTCCCTTTCTTTTTTCTCTTTCCAAATTTATTTCACTGGATTATACTCCTTAAATAACATCTTCAAACCCTAACCTTTCCGACTATTGTCGAACTCTTACTACCTCTACCACTACGGATTTTAAATCGACAATTGTATCTGTGTGCTAATGTGGTATGGCAACTCGAACTGATGTACGTACGTACGAAGTTCTACGTTGTTTCTGACTGATTAACATTTCATTATTTAATTCAGTCACTTACTTAGAAATACTCTTTACTTTTTATCATATGTAATAGAATTATTGTGACTAAAGCTTGATGATGAAATTATGGAAAACAATTGTTAACTAGTACCAATAGTAGTAGTAGTCATAACAATGAAATTATGAATAAATTTTGAATATCCGATTTTGTTACAAAGAATCCTGGTACCAATATTTCATGCTTGTTTCCATGGTCTCGGTAACATGTCTAATCTTTTACTTGAATTAAACTTGGATAGCGATGATTATCATGATGAAAACTATATAGCACTTAACACTATGCAAGATAACTTGTAGTTATAAATATTCTATACGACTAGAACGCCACTATTAATCCTTACATATTTTGAAAGTTGTACGAACGTTAAGTCATATATCCGAGGATAAAATGACCACTCACCTAAATAATTTGCAATGAATCTGAACTGTGAATAATTTTTCTTATATTCAATAAGTAAATGGGATAATGAAAATTCATTTCCACACTAATAGTCGGTATGATTTTTAAGGTTACCGGTTTTACGTGATTTTCAATGGTGTTCTGTGCCATTCATCCCAGTAACATGAAAGAATGTGACCCAGATATCAATTTTGAGTCAACAAACGGCCATTTACTGGAAACAAGAAGATCTGTAACTTAATGAAGTCCATATTAAAGAGTAAACTAATTTATTTGCAAGTAGTTCTAATTTCCTCCTAAATAAAACTTTGCAGAAGAGGAATTGTAAGTTGTGCATCAAGGTGCTTTGAAGGGATGTGATAATATGAGGGGAAGCGTGAACAGTACAAAACAAAGGGGATTCAAGTTCCGTGACACGAGTAGGTTACGTTTCTGTCTAGCATATCTCGCATGTGCTCGAAGCTCACACAATTCTGGAAGCTTATGGTTCTTATAGAGATAAAGACAGAATTTGTTCCAAATCGCATATTTACTATTTTTTCCGCCAAAAAAGTCTTATATTAACCGTACTTGTATTTTTAGATTCTAAAACAATCGAAGAGACTGAGGACAATCACGAAGCAAAATAGGTATAAATACATCTTTCACAAAGCTAGGATAGGACAGTCGTTAATTAGGCATTTCTCAACGTATATACCTGACAGTGCCTCGAGATGTAACTAGACAGAAATAACAGCAAAGAAAAAAAATATGAGACTGCGATATTTTGTAGTTAACAGAACGGGACATGAATGCAAACTACTGTGTGATTGTTTAAACTTCATGACTAATAACGAGTAGTATATACCTACCATCAGCTATTAGACCAACGTTGATTTCACATCGTTAAACACAATAATGGATTGGAGCATCATAAATGCGCCACTTATACAACAAACGGTAGGGTTAGCTGAGGTTAAATACCATTAAGCCGGTTCAGTGTCGATGAAGGGACATTTTGTAGACCAACCAACCATAGAAGCCCACTTCATTCATTAGTTGGTGAGAATCACTGCTGCACTGAGTACTACTCAAACTCCATACTAGTTAGTACCTGATTACTATTGGCAGGTCACTTGGGACTATTTACGGCATGTGCAAACGACTTCATGTTTCCGTTAGCTAAACAAAATTTGTTTATGTCGATAGTTTGGAAGATAAAACCAACCTTCGCATAGTGAAGGCCATAGCTTGTATCTATCTGGACAGCCTCATACAGTTGTCTAGTTAACTTTAGTTTCTATCTTAGCTCAACTACTAAGCCACATATTTGAATGGTCGCTGAGCTGATATAGGTAGTATAACCCATGAAACTTGTATTGCAGGCTTAAAAGGTAACCCTCCTTGATCAGAAGATAGTGCCTAACCTTAGTACCGTTTACCTAGTAATATAACTACGTATGAAGTATGCAATAAACTTACCCAGAAATGAACATTTCCGATTTACATGTCTTTTAAATTTTATATTTACGTAATACAGAATCTACCAAATGTTAGACTGAAGCTATGTTTCACATTTTAGCCCTATACATAAATCTAAATTTTCCTTCAATATCTAAGACTTATTTTTGATACTGATCTTAACGAACTACGCAAACATAGATCTACAGCTATTTAAAACTGGATTATCAGTTTTAATTTCCAAAATGTAGTAGTCCATGCCACATGAGGAATTTCACTAACATTTATTTCCTTAAAGTACAAAAAGCAGCACATTTACAACTGGATCATTTTGAAGTGGCACATAATACTGGCTTGAATGAGAAAAGTAAATGCTATCGGAATGCAATCCAAACTCAAGAACATATATAAAATCCCGATGAGTATGGAAAGCAAATATTTGAGACTAATGACACATAAACCTATACCTACGTGGTTTTGTATACATACCTGCTGTCTTAAACAAAATCACATGATCTCCAAGTAACATTTTTGTCATCTTAAAGCCATTTAGCCAACAACATGGTGTTTAAGGAAAGTTTTTATACAAACAGAAAAAAGCAGTACATAAGGTTATCCATATACTTCAAACGATAGTTTCTTCCGATCGAATATACTCCCCAATATCAGCTTGGTGAAAGACGGTTATTGTCATTGGATCAGTGTTTTTTACTTGCAGAGATGACTTGGCAGCAACCCCAAAACCCTGAAAATAATAGGTTAGGTACGAAATTTCGTTGGATGCATTACTAGAGGCATATCACTCATGTTCATTACAACAACACCGGCGTACTGAGGAGTGTTGTCCGACATCTTAGCGACACCTGACCTCAAAATATTTTGTCCATAAAGAAACTGCTGTTCAGACGGTGCTTTTAACCAAACACGATACATGGCATACGGTGATAAGAAGTCAAGCGCGGTTATGTGGAGTCTAAAGTTGCCTGTTTTTGAGAAGCGACCAATACAAGTCCCAAAGCTTAGCAAATGTTTCTTTTTGATTGATGCAGCATGTTTTGCGAGTGTCGAACTAATTTTATAACGTACACTTTCGAAAGATTAGTTGAAGCTTACCGGCAATAAAAAACGCGATCACGATGGTAGTAAAAATTGTACTTGTCGTCTGGTCTGTTTAATAATTCATCAGCATCCTTAATACTTAAAGCTATTAGGAATATATCATAAAGTTACTATTTCTGTAGTTTGGCTACAACCTTAGCGAATTCATCTTTTTTCAGATCTCTCATGTTCACTGAGTTTAACGAGTGGCACTAAGGGAGTAGGAGAAATAAAGTTCGCCTCAATGAAGTTACCTGCTATTCGTCCCGGCGACCTTGAGCGACCCGCCTCAAGGCGCGCCTTTAGGAGACCTGCATATTTCAGAAAACGCCAAATAACTTAAAGCCAAGTGTATTGTTGGCTGAGGTCAAATTTATTCAGTCTCTGTCATCTAAACATTCAGCTATGGCATCGGTGTGCAAAAAAATAATACGTGCTAATATTCTAATTATTCTTTAAAGTAAGGAATGTCAATATAAGTTTTAATCGTCCATTGTGAAGAGTTTGAGAAGAGTCGTCACTCGCTTAGTTTCCACACACTGTATGACCTCGTAGCGATAAATCCAATCTCCCAAGTTGGGGGAAATCCCGAAGATATGCATTGTGCACTTTTCCAAATTAATATTTCACCACCTGAGAATCAACGTAAATGACACTGTAGCGGTAAATAAATCCCCAAAATATATAGCTCTATAAGTTTTCGACATTGGATGCTGACCACATGATTTACTGAACCCACCTAGCTGAAGGAGCTCGGTCATGCATCCGCACCATATCACGAGTGGGAACGCCATGCTCAACATCTACTGCAATCGCTAGCCAGATTTGATCAGACGATTCTCGATATATTGATATCACATCAAGTATACTTTCCAATCTCCTTGATTCTGTCTTTTGATTTCTCTTGGTAGGTACGAGTTATATTAGATGTTAGTGGTTAAAGTGTTGTCAAACACTGAATACCTGTGCCATCTTCAACACTATGTGTTCTGCCCTATTAGAGTTCTGTAACAAGCAAAGTAGTCTGAGTGTTTCTCCTCGAAATTTAAAGTATCCGAATTCTAGAACAATCCAAAGTCACTCCAGTGCTTAGTTAATATCTCATTTCTAAATAATCCCAGACGCCATGTCTGTTTGCTCTAGAGCGAACACAGTTTTTGAAATGAATTTGGAAAAGAGCAAAAAAAGATATTTGAAAGGAGAAGGGAACCTTATTCAGCTAACCTGATGGCTTTGAACGTGAGACTTCTACAGTACAGAAGATTCGGAGAGGTTTTTTATGGTGCATTTTATTGCTGACAAACATAATTGCCAAAAATTTTGCTTAAAAGTGTCATTGCTGATGTGTGGGGGAAACTCCATTAAGGATGAAACACAAAGTAGCTAGCAAATATTTTCTCCGTCAAACTTAACAATTTGTGAAATATCTTACTAGAAGTAATAGTGATTACAGCCCAGGATTGATCCTTCAAAAGTTAAACTTTCAATTCAGAACTGAGGGAGATTACTCGAGGTGTTTATTTTTCGATTTCATGTGATAGTTTCATGCCGCTTTTGTAATCGTTACTTATTAATTCTGGAATGAGATTTGGCTATTTAACATAATAATAATAATAATTTATTCTCAAATAACATTTTGTTACATGAGGCATGCCAGTTTACAGGCAAGATCAAATTGATACAAATGATACAATATACACTGTATTAAATTAAATAGCTGGGTTGAAAATTCATTAGACATGAATGTAGATTGTTTTAATCAGTACTATAGTTGGCGCGCTTCACGAGAGTTGCGTTGCGAATGTGCGACTGATGGTCAAGAATAGGCCCATTAAAGGTATGAGCTTCTAGAAATCGCAACCTTATGTCCCTTCGGGATATCCAAGGCTTTAAGGATGGTGCAGGATGAAGTAACCTGTTCCATATCTCAAGGGGGCTGAAAGAGGGAGCAAGTAAAAGAAAACACGAGAGGCAGAGTAGCCAATATTCATGTAGGAATGTTTAAGGTATGATTACTCAGTCTAATTTTCTTTTATTAAGGTATTTGTTAAGAAAGACCATTTTAACAGGTTAAAGAAAATAAGCTTATAGCAAGGTGTGAGTGGACATACAACTGACAAATGGAGGCGATTTGGAAAAGAGCTGAGAGTATAAGATTATGTGTGATTATAAAATAAAATATAGTGCTAGAAACAGTATTGTGATATACAACTGGCTATTTTCCTTTTATTATCGAAGCTATTAGAGGTCCTTTCTTTTTTTTATTTGTTTTTTTTTCAGGTTTTATAGGGTCTTGAGTAGGCTTCGTATATTAGCGAATTGTCTAGTTTGCTTGTAATAGGATTTCTGAGTAGGAAGTGAAACCAATTCAACGTTCGTAACACGATTTAAAGAGGTATTTTGCGTGATAAATCAGCTTCAATACCTTAAGTCCGTGACAACATCTGTCATACTAGTTTGACAATGTCTACGGGATTATTAATTCAACTTCAACCTTGTTCTCTATATCGGTCAGATTTGAGAGGAATAAAGATACACTCTTCATCACGTTCACTCTGATGTATTGTCTGGCTTTTAATCAAAATCGGCTGAAACATGATATCATCTGGTCAAGATTACGCAGTTTACGTTCTTGCATTATAAACCCTGCAAGCAATTTCAACAGTGTCAATATAGATTACTGTTTGCGTTCAATAAGAAATAATTGACCATAAAACATTTTTGGTGAGGGCGATGATTTAAATCCGCGAATATTTGTGGGAGGAGCATTTAATTGTTAATGTAATTTATGAATCAACAATTCGCAGATTAGTCTAAACGTATTCTAATAACCAGGAGTAAACCAGGAACCAAGAGAAAAATCAGTCCATAAGCATGTAGCATCAAAGAGCAAACAAATCGCTCAGTAATGTACAAACCAATTTTTTACAAGTATCACACGCTTTTATCGATACAGTCAAGCCCAACGTCGACCTGGAAAATGAAGAACAGCTTTTGTTGCCTTTGATTATTTCCGGAGTTTTTGGAGATTCATATAACATTCAAATTGTCGGAGGTCTGAAATCCTTACCGGCCTACACAATTGTGTAATATGTCTGTTCCTTAGTTCAGGGAATGAGAAGTTAACTATATCCAGTGGTATTTAGAAAGTCAGGTTTACTTACTTCAAGTTGTCATATATGAAGTATTTATCCCATTCTGATGTAGAGGGTACTAAGGACTAAATTATAACCCAATAAATCTACTCTTTTCCTTCGAGGTCAGAAAAACTAAGATGATATAGAGTGCGCGATCGAAAGAACTGTATGTTACGGGGATTTATTTACCTTTACATTCATTAGACATGTTAAGTCTAAACAATCAGAAATAACCAGAGGTTTCCTAATAGCCTTATGGAAAAGAGAAACTGATGTAAGCTTGATATACTATTGGTTTCACGGGTCTACTAATTGCTTCAGTTCATTCCAACCTTTGTGCGGTATTGATGACCGGATAGAAGTCTATACTTATTAAGCGTGCCCTTGGTAAACATTGATCTGACAGCTTTTTATGTCCAAAGGAGTTTGGTCTACTTTTTGTACCCTGAAGGGTCACATAAATCTCCGCGTCAGATATTATACTAATGCGATTCACTTTACTCGATAAACAGTTGACCTGTGTATTAATGGCCCCTTCACTCCGAGATTACGACAATGAATTTGTTCCCCAAGTAGTGTAGATTGCGTAATTATGTATCCACCTTTTAAAGACTTGAGACACAGGTTTTTGATCGTAAACTCCGTTCTTCGTTGCACAGGTGAGCTGATAAACTTGGCACAATCCTCTAAATGACGTTCTTCGCTACTCACTCACATTCAACCTTCTTATCTACTACGCCAACAACCTTTGTAGCAAATACTTGTTTTTGGGTAACTAATTCATTAAGGCCCGAAGTGTTATACAATATATAGGTAAATCTGCATGGGAACTGGTTCATGTTGTGATCGATTAATTCTTGGATATTCGAAAATCCCGGCTAACTACTTTTCCATTCTGTGGCAGAATTAATCTTTATCCACTTCCTTCATAATCAAGTGATTGGAAGTTTGCTCACTGCCTCCACTACAGTCATCAAATTCAGTTCATAACTCACGTTAATGAACCTAAGGACATTTCAAAAGCCAACAAACTATCCATGGAGTATCCCATGTCCTTTCGTTTGTCATTAGTCTGCCTAAAGTCGCGATTATCAGTTTCACATGCTCTACCTTACACGATAAACAGTCAATAGAAAATTCGCTTCAGTGTGTTCCTTTCCTTGGAATAAGCCTCAGCCACTCACAACAAGTCGTAGCACTAAACAATTCTTGCCGCTGGTTCAGTAAACTGTCTCGCATAATACATGAAGTTAACTTCCCATGTCAGTATAGCGTCTACCACAAGCATTTCGATCCTTCAAGTAAATCTAGGCACGTCAGTTCAGAAGCCAGACAGTGCATCATAGTGGACGTGATGAACAGTGTATTTTTATTCCTCTATAATCTGGTTGATTTACAGAACATAGTTAAAGTTGTGTAGAACAAAACGACCGCATTGCTTGCCCCAGAAATGTGTTTTATATCCCAAATAAGTTGAGAAACGTAGTCCAGTTTTCCGGACTCTCGATGAGAGTGCTTGACTGAAGACAGACTAGGAGAAAAGGCAAGTGGTTTATGGCCACTGATCAGGGTGAATTCTCGGAGTTCCATGGAGTGTTGAAATTGTCGTACAGTACAATAAATAGCTAGGAGTTCCCCACCAAAGAAGCTGTAACTGGATTCACTGTCTTGGAACCGTCCAGAAAAGAATCCCAATGCTTGCGAATCTTCGTGTTCTCATTGTTGTATGACTCCTTCGATCCTACGGCGATACCTGTGGGCGTTTGTGTGTATTGGTGTGCGAGTGTATCAGACCTGATGATCTTGTTCACGCCGTAGTAAATGCTCTTTACTCATCGTCGTCCAAGTTGATTGTTGTTTCATTCCCCAACTTTGGTCTGTGAGTGGTCTGATAAGAGGCACGCAAACCAGTATTGACTGTCGACGAAAACTCACCAGTCTGTTGGATGAACATAGTTACTCAACTGTGGTTGATCCTGAGTTATACAGAGGTTGAATACCTGGAGCGTTAATAATATACCCGAAGTGAAGTGAGTCGATCACAATTTGAGATTCCTAAACGTCTACAGAAGTGTCATGTTTTTCAAGTCGTTGAAAAGCAAGGTCCAGACAAAGGAAATGGGATTCTCTTCCAGAACTTAAAACCAGACAGTCACCAACATGTGCATGCACCAAGTCG